CCACTTGAGCCACAGCACCACTTCCAGTTCTCTGAGTGGTTTGTTGGAGATAAGCGTCTCACAGTCTCACCTGCCCAGGCTGGCTTTGAACCGCAATCCTCAGATCTCAGGGATCTAGGATTACAGTAGCTAGGATTACAGGTGTGAGCCACCAGCACCCGGCTGTTTGTTTGTTTGTTTGTTTGTTTGTTTATTACATACTAGAGATTCAACTCGGGGACTTTAGTGATCCAGGATCCTCCCTATCACTACTTCTAAGTAGATGGGGTCATATCCATGAGCCACCATGCTCAGCTATTTGGTAGACATTTAAAGTCACTCACATAAAAGCTACCTTCTGAGTTTTTTATTTCTCTTTTTCTTACCAATTAATACATTTCTTGTTTCTACAGTGTATATTACTTTGGATTTATTACTTTGTACAATTATTTTCTATATTTTCAAATATAGAAAATCCAAAGAGATACTTGAGTTCTTTAAAGAAACTCTTATTTGTCCTTCTACCTTTTATTTTTATAATTGGAAAGTATGTAGACAAGCTAATTTCTTTTTGTACCTAACAATTTCTCTTTGTCTTTGATTTTTATCAAGTTTTATTGTGATCATTTGTTGAAATGAAGATTTTTATACACATATGCATATACATTGGGTGTTGATTGGCTGTCTTGATTTGATAGATTATTCTTTTCTAGTTCTAAAATCATTTTAGTGCTTAACATCCTTACATATTTATTGTCCATGTTTATTTTTGTGTCTATGTTTTGTTAATGCCAGCACTGGAGCTGGAACTCTTGGGGTCTCAAGCTCTCTCTTGGCTTTTTATACAAGTTGGCATTCTACAAACAATGAAGCCACAGCTCCAATTTTTGCTTTTTGCAGGTTCATTGGAGATAAAAGTTTTAGAGACTTTTCAGTGGGGCTGGCTTCAAACTTCAGTCCTCAAATCTCAGCTTCCTGAGTAGTTAGGATTATAGATGTGAGTCACTCATGTCTGACTTTGTGTATTTTGTGGTCTTGAGGTCCCTTTTTTTCTTTTCTTAAAAAAAGGTAAATGGCACTGAAGAGCATTAGTGTGCTTAATTTAAATGATAAAAGAATAAGTTTTAGGTCTATTCAAAGGTGGCAGGTTTTTAGCAAAAATTGGTCCAATTGTGACAAAAATAAATCAGGCATCCTCAGTACAGTACTAAACTCCTCATCCTGAGCATTCAGGTCTTCAAATTATTTCCAAATATCTATGTCCCAGAACAAAGCCTAACATTTCCAGGAATAAGCACCAACAATGACTCACAATGACTGCCATCTGATCAGAGATAATTATTTTTTATTGCTGTGTTAAAAATTAGCTGGGTGTCACTGGCTCACAGATGGAATTCTAGCTACTCAGGGGGCTTAGATCTGAGCATCACAGTCCAATGCCAGTCTATGCAGTAAAGTCCATGAGACTCTTTACCTTCAATTAACTACCCAAAATCCAAAATTGGAGCTGTGGCTTAAGTGGTAGAGCACTAACCTTGAGCAAAACAGCTCAGGGACAGCAAGCATCCTGAATTCAGGCCCAAGGATCAGCACACAGACCAAATGAATTTACACAAATTTAGTGGACTGATTGGCATAGATGTTAGAACTACTTTCTGTAACAAATTAAACTGTATTAGGATTTGTTTTGTCTCCTTGTGTCTCTTAACATACCCCCACCCTTTTTTTTAAACTTACATCTTTTTCAGTATTAAACTATTTTCCTGTTTCTGTTTTAATATATAATATTGAACTTACCTATTACAACAGATAAGAACAAAACCTGGTATTCAAGATACCTATAGTCTCTGAGGGAACACAGATTTCTCCCCCCTTTCCCCTCTCCCCCTTTCTCCTTCTCTCGCTGTCTATCCCTCTCCTCCTCTCACCTTCTCCCCCTCCTCCTCCCTCTCTTTCCCCCCTATCCCTCTCCATCCTTTCTCCCTCTCTCCATCCCTCCCCCATACTGGGGCACTGGGTGCTCTCTCTTTTTAAGGCTGGCACTCTATCACTTGAGCCATAGCTCCACTTATAGCTCTTTGGGGTAGTTAATTGGAGGTAAGAATCTCACAGTCCTGGGCTAGCTTCCAGCCATGATCCTCAGATTCATCCTCTTGAGTAGCTAGCATTACAGGTCTGCAACTGGCGGTATAATACTGTATATTCTATTGGATAGAAGAAAGTGTATTTGAAAACAGAATGCATCTGTTTATACTGAACAATGGTTAGGGAAGGTTTCCTGGAGGTAATCTAATATAACAGAAGTATATAAGAAAGGAAATTAATTTTATTTCTCAGGAAAAAAATGAACTGAACATAGACTGACAGAAAAATAATAGTAGAAGGTTAACTTGGCGCTACATAGTATAGGCCTTCGATGACTAGCTGTGGAGTGGGTACTGTAATTTCCTAGACAGTGCACTAACAATATTTCTGTGAAGGAATTAGCCCTGCCACTAACCATCTAAATGTACAACCATTTGTATTGATTATGTTTTTAAAGATATAATTCATTGGCTTATCTTCATCAACTGGAACTTAAACATTTATAAAATCTCTTTGATAGATCATCATTAAAATTTATTGAAGTGTATAGCACACATTTTAAATTGGATTATGATGTTTAGAAATTAGAAGCATGCGGTTTCTTTTTTAGTTGCCTCCCACATACACATCTGAATTTTGTAATTTTAGCAATAAACGCAGCAAATGGTGAAGTGTAAAATGTGGGTAGTATTTGTCTCAAAAGTTTACTTAAGGATTAATTACACATATACATAGGTTTGTGTGCATGTATAATTATACTGCTATATGTACTAGTGAACATATAGAGTCTGGTACGGTTGTTTACACAGTTGTTACGTGATGGCACAAGTTTAATGAGATAGACTTCAGAAGAGAATTGACTAGGTTCACATGTAGGTTTTGCCCCTTAATAGCTGTGTGACCCTTGGAAAACTTTACACCTCTCTATGCTTTCTAATTTGTAAGATGAGTTTTCTTATTTTGTAAGAAATAAGAATAGTATAGGACTGTTCATGAGAATCAATGCTTATATTTTAAAAGCACTTTGATCACTGTTTGTTTCAAAAAGTTATATTACCTCTATATCAAGTTTCTATCTTTGTGTTAAATTATATTTTTATGATTTTGAGCTAATGAATTTTTTAGAGTATAAAGCCAAATGTACATTGATTAAACTAAGTTAGTTACTCCATTGCATGAGAGAACAGGTAATCCTGAAGCACAAATAATTTATAGTTTTGGCAGTTTTCAATGATTGCCTAGTTACCTATCATCTGAAACAGGCCATAGTGTTCTTAGCTTTTTGACAAATAAGGGAATTGGTGTGGATTATAAAACCAAGTATTGAACTTCAATATGAAGAATTGTATTTAGATCATATAATTAGTAGAAGTGGTTTACCTAGAATAGTTAAATGGTCCTTTTTGAAAATTTTGTTCCTTAAAGATAAGCAACAGTATTCTTTATGAGACACCTTAGACTTGAATGCTGATCTCCCTCTATGAGTTGATCTCCCTCCCATGAGTTTGGTATTAGTCAGTCAGTATCCTTCAAACATTTTCCATTGTGATTAAATATCCTCATAGTAGAAAACAAAATGTGAAAGCTATGCTTATGCTTACCATATTTAACCCTTGTTTCTGTTTTACAAAGAAGTAACTTAATAGAATTCATGTAATGTTTGAATACAGTTTGTTCTCAGTTTAGTTAACATGAATTTCATTTAATTGCTGAAGTTAAACTGTTTTGCTTAATTTAAAAATAATAATGTTGGGGGCTGGGAAGGTGGCTCAGTGGTAGAGTGCTTGCCTTGCATGCATGAGGCTCTGGGTTTGATTCCTCAGCACCACATAAGCAAAAAGAAAAAAGCCGGAAATGGCGCTGTGGCTCAAGTGGTAGAATGCTAACCTTGAGCTGAAGAGCTGAGGGACAGCGCCCAGGCCCAGAGTTCAGGCCCCATGACCGGACCCCTCCCCCCCCCCCCCAAAAAAAAAAAATAATAGTGTTGCCAGGCACCGTTGGCTCACTCCTGTAATCCTAGCTATACAAGAAGCTGAGATCTGTGTATTGCAGTTCAGGGCCAGCTGGGGCAGGAAAACCCCCAAGGTTCTTATCTTCAAATAGCTATCCAAAGATGTGGAAGTAGAGCTGTAATTCAAGGGGTAGAACTGAAGCCTTGATTGAAAAAGCTCAGGCTCTAAGTTCAAGCCCTAGCCACTGGCACCTCCTCCCCCTCAAAAAAAGAAGGAAAAAAAATTAGAATAATAGTGTGTGAAAACTTCACACAATTGTCTAATTCAGTTTTAAGTAATCACTTTTATATGGACTCTTCCCTAGCAAATAAACTTGGCAACTTAAATATTTCTTTGCTTATATGTTAAATTCTTACTTGTAATACAAATAGTACTTACACTTGCTATAAGCATAAGGAGATTCCATTTAGATGAGTTCAAGTTTGTCTCAAACTGATCTTTTTTTCTTTTTCTTTTGTGTGTGTGTATGTGTTTTATTGTTTTGGCTTTTTTTTTTCTGATCGGCTGTGGGGCTTGAACTCAGGGCCTGGGCACTGTCCCTGAACCTCCTTGTGCTCAAGGCTAGTGCTCTATGGCTTCAGTCATAGTGCCACTTTTTTCCCCCTTTTTTTTGTTTTTGGTTTTTGGTTTTTTGGAGTGGTTAATTTAAGATTAAGAATTTCACAGGGACTTTTCTGTCCCAGCTGGCTTTGAACCCCAATCCTCAGAGCTCAGCCTAGGATTATAGGCGTGAGCCATAGGCGCCTGGCTTAAAGCTGCTCTATTTTTTGAAAATAATTTTTAATTTTATTAGTATATATTAATTATCTAAAATAGTGGGTTTCTTTGTGGCATTTTCATGCATGTGTATAAGGTACTTTGACCATATCCACCTTCTCTTCTAGAGTTACACAGCATTTGATCCTAAAAGTGTTCTATTTGCAGATTGCCCAAGGACTCCAGATACACCAAATAGTGACCCTCGTTGTTCTACTAGCAATAATAGACTGATGGCTTTACAGAAACAATTGGATATAGAACTTAAAGTAAAACAAGGTGCAGAGAACATGATCCAGATGTATTCAAATGGGTCTTCAAAGGTAAGTACTACAACCATATATAGTGAGCCCTCATTATTTATACATTCCATCTTTGTGAATTCACATACTTGATTACATCTATTTATAATCCCCACATCAGTACTGTAGCAGTTTGGGTATTGGTGGACATGTACGGAACAGTGAAAATTTGAGTTATTTGACATGCATAGTCCTGCTGAGGTCAACAGGGTACTGATTCTCTGTATTATTAAGTGTTCATGCTGAAAATAAGAACCTTTTCTACAAGTCTAAAATTATTTTAAAACAAAAGACTTATTTTAGAATTTCGTGCTACATTGAGTTTTCTGTCCCTAACTATGGCATTTTTTGAAAAGTGCCAATGCTTTGCTGGGCATGTACTCTACCTCTGAACCACAATACCAGCTCCTTTTTTGCACTGGTTATTTTTGAGATAGGATCTCCTTTCCTTCTCAGGCACATGCCTGTACCTCAGTCTTCCTATCATCTTACCATAGCTAGAATGACAGTCTTCAGACCCAGCTTCTTCCATCAAGATACAGTCTTAAATTGACCTGGAACCAAAGTCTTCCCAATCTTAACCCCTCACATAGTTAGGATTATGGGCATGCCCCACTGTGTCCATTCTCAGTTGGGATGGGGTGTGTAATGTATACACTTGGGCTAGTCTCAAATGCAGTTCTCCTGATATCAGCAAGTAACTAGTATTATAGATGTGCTAGCAGAGTCCACCATATTACAATTTTTTTCTTTTTTAAAGCAAGTACTATATTCCTGGAACTGTGAGTGTGCCACCTCATGCTAAACATTTTGAGATTGTCAGTTAATTAGAAGAGAAAAAATTTTAATCTGAAATTGATGAATGAATTTGAGGGATTTATGAACCCATTGAAATTACAGGAAGAGCAAATGTGTATGTTGATAATTAGGTGAGAGGACCAAAGGTTTCACCATATTCACAAAGTAGTCTCTAATTCCTATAAAATTAAGAAGCAGCTCCTAAATTGAACAGAATTATGGGCATACTGCAAGTAAAAAAGAACACATTGTTTTCTGATCTCATCTTCTGGTGTCAGTTTTCTTGTTATACTAGCTATACTGGAGTATATGCTCTAGCTACATAAGAACATTATTAGAACATGCTTAACTCAGGTCCTTTGTACTTACTCCACTGTTGAGTAGTTTTGGGAAAGTTCATATGCTTATAAAATAAAATAACAATAAATAAAATAGCTACTCTGTATGTTGAATTGAAACAGTAGCATTTCCAAGCCAGGTATTGTAGCACAGGCCTATAATCTCATAATAATAGAATAATAATCCTAGTAATGGAAATTTCTAATGGAACATTTCTAAGCCCCAGGGATGGTGACACAAGCCTATAATCCTAGCTGTGTGTGAGATGGAGATTGCAGGAATGTGTTTCAAGAACAACATCTTATCTGAAAAACTAAACCAAAATGGGCTATTAGAATGTTTGTCTAGGAAGTGGTGCTGTGGCTCAAGTGGTAGAGTGCTCACCTTGAGCTAAAGAGCTAGAGGACAGTGCCCAGGCCCAGAGTTCAAGTCCCATGACTGACAGGAAAAAAAAAACAAACAAACATAGAATGTCTACCAAGCATAAGGCTCTTAGTTCAATCCTCAGTTCTATAATCAATTAATTTAATTAATGTATTTCCAATGAAGCAAATGACAAAATAACAAAAGGAATACCTTAGTTTCATGTGGATTTCTTAATATTTATACTTTTACAGCAGAGCTTACTGAAATAAGAAAATTAGTCTTTATTGCTTTAGAAGAGAATGTCTTAATGCCAGTTAGATTGTAGACAGTATAATTTTAATGTTACATAGCACTTAGAAATACTCACTATTTTATAAGTGGTATCCCCTTTTCATGAATGGAAAAATCCTACGATTTTCAGTAGACAGCTAGTTTTTCATCTGATATGATTTGGGCTCCTGTCTGTCTGATTTTGAAATACATTTGTCCCATTAACCTTTGGAATACTGTTTTTCTCTTACTCTGGTCTGAATTCAAATAGTTACTTTTTTATTGTTATGTGTAGTTATATACAGTTAACATGTTTCACGGTAATGAGTACATTTCTTTTGGGACAATGTGAGTCCTTCCTCACACTCTCCCAGTTTTTCTTCCTGTCCCCACCCACCAAATAGTTATTTTAAATCTTTGGTTTTTCTGATGTTGGAGACAGTATAATGAGAGAAAGGTACTTTTCTTTAAATTTGGAAGGTACATGATTATATTCATAAAAGCCTATATAATATACCCCAAACAAATACCAAATTAATGTAAAAGTGTAAAAAGCTGTCTGCTTTACAATATGTATTGATATCAGAGGGATTTACAAATCTTAAAACTTGTTATGTAATCTTAAAACTTGATAAAAGGGTAGATTGGGTTAAGTACAGGGATTGGGGAGACTTTGCTTATAATTCTAGCTGCTAGGAGGCAGAGATTGGGAGAAATGCTGATGGCCTAAAGTTCTCAAAGTCTCATCTCAAACAGTAGCTGGGCACGGGGGTGCATGCACACCTATCATCTCAGGTACACAGGAGGCTGATTTGGGGGAGGATGGCAGTTCAAGCTGGCTTAGCCAAGAGAGGAGACTGAATATTGTTCACATGATAAAGCATGAAGCCCTGAATTCAAACTCCAGTACGGTAGGTAGGTAGGTAGGTAGGAAGGTAGGAAGAATAAAATATACCTAGAAACTTTTTCTAAATAACTGAATTTAGGAACAGGAAAGAAGTAAAAGAAAAATGATCACACATATGGTAATTTCAAATAATATATACGGATTGTTTTTCAACTTCCTAATTATTTTGTCTGAAATAGGTCTCATTTACTGAAAACCAAGGTATTATCAGGCCTCTATTCCTCTCTGGAGGATGTGGAAGAGAATCTGTTATATTATTGTTTGCAAATTCTGGAGCTATACCTTCTTTGGCTTATTGCTCTCATCTGTTTAATTTTTTCTTACATCTTTATCATTGTAATCTCTCTTGCTTCCCTCTTTCACATGTAAGGACTTTTGTGATTACATTGTTTCTACCTGGAAATTCTAGGACAATCTTTACATTTTTTAAGTTACATGATTGGCAACCTTAATTCCAGCTGCTAACTTAATCTCCTTTGCCTGATAAAGCAACATCTTAATAAAATTCTGGGATTAGAACATGGTCATCCTTAGTTAAATTAATACTTATAAATTCCACCTTTCATTTATATTCAGCATTACTAGAATTAATCAAAGGTATAGCAGTAACATTTCATTTTATTTATAATCTCCAAGTTTTAAGGCAGAAATTTTACTTTCTCCCCAGGTTTATGGGATGATCTCTATTTTTGACATACAAAAATCTCTAATGATTTAGTATAATTGGTGTTGACAAATGTTGTTCATTACTTTTTAAAATATTTTAAGGAAACACAGATATTATCTGATTAGCTAGCTTTTAAATTTGCCCATGAAATTTAAGTGAAATGTAATTTTTAAAAAAGAAGAGATTATAGTTTTTGCTCTTGGTTCTGAGGTATCCGTCAGATACTGTGCTTCTAAGTCTGATAGTTTTTTAATCATGGTTTTTTAACCATGATTAAAAAATTTTTAATTATATTTTGTATAAAGCAAAGAGAAAATTATAAGTGGATTTAGATTTGTAGATTCTTTTAAAGTAACAAGATTCAAACAATATACAGTATCAAAATTGTATAATACCCAATGAAACTGAACTGACATTAAGATGCATTGTATTCATAAACTATCTTGTTGAATGGCAACTCCCTTGTAAAACTACTTAATGATAATAAAAATAAGCTAATTGTATTTGTGATAATGTAGCTGAACCTGGAGGCCATGCTAAGTAAAATATATTAGACACAAAAATAGATTTTATGATCTTATTTAAGTGTACTCATAAGAAATAATGGATAGGGGCTGGGAAGGTGGCTCAGTGGTAGAGCGCTTGCCTTGCATGCCTGAAGCCCTGGGTTCAATTCCTCAGTACCACATAAAGCAAAAAGAAAAAAGCCAGAAGTGACGCTGTGGCTCAAGTGGTAGAGCGCTAGCCTTGAGCTGAAGAGTTGAGGGACAGCACACAGGCCCAGAGTTCAGGCCCCACGACCAGACCCAAAAAAAAGAAAAAAGAAATAATGGATAAATGAAAACAGGAGAATAGTAGTTACAAGGGGCAGGAAGAGAAAAAGAGATGAAGAGAAGTACAGATTTGCAGTTTGAGAGGCTCAGTACTGTATACTGAGAGCAGGAGGTGTAGTTCAGTGGTAGAATGATTGCTTAGCGTGTGCAAAGTATAATTACATATACTGGCAATTTACTAAAAAACATTTTATATACCCTTTAAAATGCATTTTCACATAAAATTACTGTATAAGGTGATTGATACATGAATTATAATAATCATTTCAATATATTTATTTCTCTCAAAGCAAATTAGCTTGTTGTAGTGACTTATTCCTGTTATCTCAGCACTCTGAGGTTGAGGCACATTATTGAATTACACTACTTACAGTTCTTGGAACTCCGTCTTTCACTTATAAATTGATTGATGAATTTAGAAGATATGAAAGTGTTTTATTTGTCCCTTTATCTGGTCACCTTTTCAAACTTATTTTTTATAGGATCGGAAACTCCATGGTACAGCTCAGCAACTGCTCCAGGACAGCAAGACAAAAATTGAAGTCATCCGAATGCAGATTCTTCAGGCAGTCCAGACCAATGAATTGGCTTTTGATAATGGTGATGGAGTAGAGATAAATTATCAATATGGTCCATATAATGCTAATTAAATTTTACATTGGAAATAGACAGTAATTCAAACCTAAGGGGGATAGAATTTTTGTTTTGTTTTGAAATCTTGTGTTTTACACTGTGCCATGAAATGTTTTCAGATATTTACCCATCATGATCAAGATTCTGATCAAGAATATATTTCTTCACTTAAAAAAAACTTTTTTTTCTTTTTTGGTGGTCTGGGCACCAATTGTTTACACCTGTAATCCTAACTAATCAGAATTTACTCTGAGGATCCTGGTTTGAGCCCAGACAATACAGGAAAGTTTCTGAGACTCTTGTCTTTAGTGTACCACCAAAAAGCCAGAAGCGGAGTTGTGGCTTAGGTAGTGGAATACTAGCCTTGAGCAACCAAAGCCTAGATCCTGAGTTTAAGCCCCAAGACCAGCATCTCCCCCCCCCCCCCCCAAAAAAAAAAAAGAATTTCCTACTTAAGATTATGGCTTTTCTCCCTGCTTCTCTCTCCCTCCCTCCCTCCCTCCCTCCCTCCTGCCCTCCCGCCCTCCCTCCCTCCCTCCCTCCCTCCCTCCCTTCCTCCCTTCCTTCCTTCCTTCCTTCCTTCGAATCTTTATAGCTGGTTACTAAAAGATAGGACCAGACAGTACAGTTGTCCCTCAGTATCTGCAAGGGATTGGCTTTGAATACTAGATAATATTTGCATACCTCCTTACCTACTTCTCTAGTTTTGTTTAAACCTGTTACATTGGGAATGCTTTGTAAATAGTTGTTAGGTTATATTATTTGACACCCCCTCCCCCCAAAAAAGTCTACATGTTCAGCACAGATGCAGTTTTTGTTTCCTGTTTTTTTGTTTTGTTTTGTTTTGCTTTGTTTTTGGGGTCAGTTGTGGGGCCTGAACTCTGGGCCTGGGCGCTGTCCCTCAGCTCTTCAGCTCAAGGCTAGCGCTCTACCAATTGAGCCACAGCGCCACTTCCGGCTTTTTTTCTTTTTGCTTATGTGGTGCTGAGGAATCAAACCCAGGGCCTCAGGCATGCAAGGCAAGTGCTCTACCACTGAGCCAACTTCCCAGCCCCTGTTTCCTGTTTTTTATAGGACTGATTGAATCCCATAATGTGGAACTACAGATTTAGAGGACCAACTGTGTTTTGATCTCATAATATTATAATATATTGATACCTTCATTTCTAAAATCTTTATTGCATTTTTGTAGTTTAGCTACAGAATGGCTAAAAGGATCTTAATTTCAATCTTGCATCTGTTTCTTCAGTACTCATTGATTTAGGGACGACTTTAATGTCATAGGAAAGCATTTGATTTCATGGCTTTTCAACACATATGCAAAAATGGTTCAATTAATAATTACATTTTATTCTTCCCCCTCTAGCAAAACCTGTGATAAGTCCTCTTGAACTTCGGATGGAAGAATTAAGGCATCATTTTAGGATAGAGTTTGCAGTAGCAGAAGGTGCAAAGAATGTAATGAAATTACTTGGCACAGGAAAAGTAACAGACAGAAAAGCACTTTCAGAAGTAATTTTCAAAAAATTTTGTATTCGTTTATCATAGCATTCAAAGAATGTGATTATATAAATGATAATAATTACCTTTTTCTCTTGCTAGGCTCAAGCAAGATTTAATGAATCAAGTCAGAAGTTGGACCTTTTAAAGTATTCATTAGAACAAAGATTAAATGAGCTTCCCAAGAATCATCCCAAAAGCAGTATTATAATAGAGGAGCTTTCACTTGTTGCATCCCCAACACTAAGTCCACGTCAGAGTATGATATCGACACAAAACCAATACAGTACACTATCTAAACCAGCAGCTTTGACAGGTACGTAACACATATCCTCTTGTTTTCTTGTGTATTTTTCTGAATCTGGCTTCTTTCACTTAGTTTGATCCATGTTTTTACATAAATATCAAAAGCCTTAATGACTGAACATTATTTCATCTTATAATTACATAGCACATTTCATTTTATTTTCATTTTGTTTTATTAATTTTCAGGACATTTCTGTTTTATAAACATTTGTGTGCAGGTGTTAGACACCTATTTTCAATTTTGGAGGATAGCTACCTAGGAATATCATTATTAGATCATTAAAAACTTTTCCTATGTTTGAGGAAACAGGAAATTGTTGTTTGCAGGTACTGTGTTATTTTACATTCCTAAGAGCCAATGCATGAGGATTCTAGTTTTTCTGTATCCTCACCATCACTTATTGTTTCCTCTTTTCTTCTTTTTTTTCTCCTTATGATAGTTATCCATATTGGTCCATTTTTGAAAGTATAGTAGTAATCTCCAATTTTACTGAGGGAATTGTTTATATTTAAAGCTTGTTTTGCCCTATAATTGCTTAGTAATTTCTATTCTCTTTTGGCTATTGTTTCAATTGATCTTGTTCTAAAATCTTTTGACTTTCAATCTCCCTGTATTTAGGTCTAATATGAATCTTTTAGACAACATATAATTGGATTGTATTTTTCTAATCCATTTCTCTCTATCTTTTAGTTGAATATAGGGAGTTAGGTTACATTTTATACATTTGTATTACATTCTTCACTTCAGATTCAAACACATTACTTGTACTTCTGACCACCAAATCCCATGATATAAGTAGCCTCAGGCTTAATAATTCACTAGAAAAATTTGCAGCACTCAGGAAAACACTGTAGTTATTATTACTATATTTTATTATAAAGAAAACACATTAGAGCCCACCAAAAGAAATATAAGCAGATCTGAAAGGTCTTAGACACATGAAAGTTTCCTGTTCTTTGGATGTATGCATCACCTTCCTAACACATTAGTGTCTTCTGTCACCAACTAGAAAATTCACTTCCAGGGGCCTAGGTTTCTAGGTTTTTAATCGGACTTTTATTACATGGGTGTGATTGAGTGAATCATTACCATGTGAATGAATTTAACTCTAGCCTCCTGCCCTGCCTTGCCCTGGATATCAGGAGATAGGGCAGCTATCTTGTAGCTCAAAGCCCAACCCCCTAGGAATGTGATTAACCACCTGCATCTTGAAATAGTTTAGGGTCAGTTTGTTAGGATTCAGCTTGTTAGCATAAACTCAAGTGCTGTTTGAAGAGATCCCATAATGAATAACAGTGACGCTGCTCTCACTGAGGTGCAGTTCCTAGAACCAAATAATAAAAACAAAAATTCTTTTATCCACAATTAAAAGGCTTCTACCATTTTGCTATTTTTTTGGTAAATGTTACTATTTTATTCTGAATTCTTAATGATGTTTCTTTTTTGATAAAACTTTGCTAATCTACTTTTTTGTTACCTCCTAATTTTTTTTAGATTATATTTAACTAATATTCTGTTTTGTTTTGTTGTTGTTTTTGCTGGTCCTGGGGTTTGACCTCAGGGCCTGGGTACTGTCCCTGAGCCCCTTTGTGCTCAAGGCTAGTGCTCTGTCACTTAAGCCACAGTGCCACTTCTGGCTTTTTCTGAGTAGTTTATTGGAGATAAGAGTCCCATGTACTTTACTGCCCAGGCTGGCTTCAAACTGCAAGCCTCAGATCTCAGCCTCCTGAGTAGCTAGGATTATAGGCCTGAGCCACTGGTGCCTGGCTGAAATTGTATTTTTTTACAGTAGAAAAAGTTACTATTTTTCAGAGTAGTTTTTCTACTGTAAAAATCATGTGGTCTGCCCACTTTTTCCTCCCCTTCCTTTTTCCCACCCTCCTAATTGTTGGAAATGCCTAATCTTTTACTGATTATACAGTTTTGCTTTGTCCTAGAAAGTCACATAGTTGGAATAATTAAGTGCATAGTCCTTTAGGGTTAGTTTTTTTTTTCCATTCAGTAATATTTAAATTTCCTCTCTTTTCATGACTTGATAGATCATTTCCTTTTAGTGTTGAGTAATATCCCATCATATTGATGTTCCAGTTTATCCATACACATTGACATCTTAGTTGCTAAGTAATGAAGGACACGAATAAATAAAGCTGTCGTAGACATTCATATTCATTTTTTTTCTTAGTGGTTGCTTGGTGATTAGAACTAACATCCTGAATTTATAACAGTCTTGCTTGAATTACTACCAGCGCACCTTCAGTAGGCTACAAAAATCTCTTACACAGCTGTCTTCCCTCACTTATATTGCTATCATAAATTATGTCTTTATGACTAAATGCCCTTTGACATGCATTATAACTTTTTAATGCATTATCTTTTAAATATCAGGGAAGAATTACAAACCAAAAATACAGTAATACTTTAGTAACTACCAATGTAGTTTACCTCTGATCCTTATTTTTCCTTTGGGCTAAGGTTACTGGCTAATGTCTTCGGTTAAGTCTGAATTGTTACTTCCTTTAACATGTCTTCTGAGCAGTTTTCCTAATAAAGTGCTACACTTAGTTTTTGTTTATTTGGAATTTTAAATTTCAAGTTTTTGTTTATTTGAAATTTTAAATTTAACCATGTTTTGCTCTATATCTGTATAATTTCTGATTAAGTTGGTGTTTTTCCCTGCATTTTAGAAGTGTTTGCCTCTTCCTGATATTTAGGGTTTTCTGTATGTGGTGGATTATTTTGATTGGTTTGGGGATTTTTTTGGGGGGAGGGGGGCAAGTGGAGAGAGATTGTTGTTGGTAATGCTGGGGATTGAACCCAGGGCTTTGAACATAACTAGGCAAGTGCTTTGTTATAGAATTACATCCCCATTTTATGCTGTTGATAAGAAAGCAGCTTTTAATTTTAATGAAGATTACTTGTAAGTGATGAGTTACTTCCTCTTGCTGTCTTCGGGATTCTTTGTCTTTATATGATTTGATTATAATGGATCTAGAAGAGGTTCTTTTTGAGTCTGTTCTATTTAGGATGTCTGAGTTCCTTAATCAAATTTGAGAAGTTTTCATTCATTATCTCTACAAATGCTTTTTCCCACTTTTCTCTTGTGTGATTTAAGATTATGTTTGTAGCTTTATGGTATCGAATGTATCATAACGCTCCCACTCAGACAGTTTATAACTACCTTTGCTTTGTAGAGTTGGAGAATCAACCAGGAGTGAGAATGTAGGACTTTCTGTGGTCTCTTCTGAGGATATTTTCAACTTTGATTTACCCTTCCAGTAATATGTAGAACATTGCTAAGCCCTGATTCTCCAACACAAGTCACTGCTAGCTTTTCCTCTCAGGGTCCTTAGCTTGTTTTCACTGAGATCCTTTGCTTTAGGCTTTAGTAGCTGAGTGGGTTTTTTTTCTTGTCTGTTTTTTTTTTTTTGTTTGTTTGTTTGCTTTTTTTGTTTTTAATATTTTTGACACTTTTCTGCCATTAGAAGTTTCTAGTTAGGTATAATAGCTAGTCATTTAGGGATCACATAGAGGTATGAAAGCTGGCAAACAAAATTCTTTGAAAAGGAGGTACACTAGGAACACAGATTGCCATTCTCAAGACTCGGTAAACTGTTAGAAGGAGAAGGGGAGGATACTTGAAGAGTGGCAAAGGCAGAGTATTTGCTATCTTTATTGCCTCTGTTGATTTTGGTAAGCATTTTCTTAGTTGTAATAAATCTTTGTTTTCTAAAAACTTGATAAAATTGATCATGACAAGTTTTTGTCAAGGCTATCTGTGGACTTAATACTTTCCATTATTTTCTCAGATAATCAGATTTTCTTATTAATGTTAATATCGTCAGTTTTGCATTAAAAATAATGCCATTTAATATTTAAAACTATACAAATATTCCTATTAATGATTACTTATTTTGGTTCCTTTGAGTTTCATCAGTTTTTCTTAAATTATTATTATAAAGGTGATATATAGAGGGGTTAGGTATTGAGTACATTACTGTTAGCTCAGTGTCATCCTTTTCCTCCATTTCCTAGTTTTTCCCTCCTGTCCCCACTCATAAGTTATATAGTTCAACATAATGTCCAGTGAATACCACTGCTGCATTTTTTTTAACCCTTGTCCCTCAATTTCTTCTGTTCCCCCACAGCATTAAGTAGTCTTATATTGCAGAAAGGACTGAGGAAGCTACTCAGCAGAAAAGCACTTGTGTAGCACACATAAGCCCAGGATTTGCTCACCAGAATTTCAAGAGAGAAAAATAAAAATAACTTAGTAAAGTTTATGGTTAAAACTTGCTGATGCCAAAATTAGAATCAGTTTATGCTTGTAGTTCCCAAATTGAGTTTCTAAATCTGAGGTATGATGTGATATCACCATGAATCCATGAGGCATACAACAGAGCAATTTTAGTTTTGGGGGGGGCAGCATGATATTAGTGCACTTCCTATGGCTACTTCTGAAACTACTAGCTCAGAATAGTTTCACTCTTAGGTGGAGCTACCTTCTTTCACATACATAATTCCACATATTTTTGAAACTAGGTTAATGTTAGTTCCTGAGATTTAAAAAAAATATCATATGAAAGATGCTGTAGACTAGGTAGGTATCAGAGGGTCAGTTTTCAGGCTGATTTCAGAGTTTCAGATAGTTATTTAATGTTCAGCATACCCATCCTATTAGGAAGTAATCTTGCTTATTTAAAATGAAATACGTATAACTATATAGTTATTTAGTGCTCAGCATACCCATCTTATTAGGAAGTAATCTTGCTTATTTAAAATTAAATATGTATAACTTCCTTCTAAGATGTTAAGATGTCAGTGATATCCTGTCAATAAACAAAACACTTAAATACAGAATTTGGCCTGGGGGCACAGTGAAAAAATGGTGTAAAACTTTAGAATCCTGATAACTGAGAAAGTTTTGAAACGTAGATTAACCCTCTCTACTATCATATCTTTTTATTTTGTTTATCCTTACCTTGTATAACTCATACCTATCTTGAATCTTCTAGTCCTCCTCTATTCTATTTAAATGTATCAAAATTAAAATGTAGACATATAAAGAAAGAAGATCAATCTATGCACAATCCTAGCTAGTATAACAGAACACTTTATATTCAACAGATACTTGGTCAATACTGTGAAAATTAGGTAAGGTTTCTACTTAAAGTTTTACCATTTTTTTGTCTTATTGCCAAACACATTGTTGATATTCAAAATCTTCTGACTAATTTACTAACTAAAATATGATTTCGAATATTTGGAACTTGACAATATTTCTAGAATAATAAAATTATGTTTTAGAAATTCTGCTGACATGGTAGAACTTTTTTCTTTTTCTATTCTAGTCTGTTACTTCTTCTAACTCTTGAACTTTACCTCTTTTCTGTTTTCTTCTATTTGTAATTATCTTACTGAACTTTACTCAAAGTAATGTCAATCACCATTTTACAAAAAGCATCTTACAATTCTGAATTTTGTTTGATTTTGATTTTGTTTTCCTTTTTAGTTTCTTTTTTTTTTTTTTTTTTGTCGGTCGTGGGGCTTGAACTCTGGGCCTGGGCGCTGTCCCTCAGCTCTTCAGCTCAAGGCGAGCGCTCTACCACTTGAGCTACAGCGCCACTTCCGGTTTTCTGGTGGTTTATTGGAGATAGGAGTCTCACGGTCTTTCTTGCCCGGCCTGGCTTTGAACCGCGATCCTCAGATCTCAGCCTCCTGAGTAGCTAGGATTACAGGCGTGAGCCACCAGCGCCCGGCTTTTAGTTTCTTTATTTTTATTTTTTATTGTGAAAATACTGTACAGAGGGGTCCTTTTTAGTTTCTTAAAGAAACTTTAAGCTTCTTCTAAACTACGGAATCTGGAATACCTAGGAAAAAAGTTAATCCTGATACTAATAAATGATTTTGACATGATGAAAGAACATGAATAAACAACATTTACTGTTTTGAATTATTCACAGCATGCTATTTATGATTTACCTCGTTTAACTGGTTTCTTTTATAGGAATTTGATTAGATTTGCAAATATGTTACTATTTTCATATGAGAAAGGATTTTTTGGCTCTATGTAAGAAACATACTGGTTTTTATAAGAGTTATTCAAAAATTTAAAACTGTTACTCATTTGATCCAAGTTATAGCTGAGCATAGAGGTGCATGCCTATAAGCCCTTTTGATATTTACGTCTTGGATTTGGTTGCTTTAGAATTTTCATATTATCATTGGTGAAGGTAAATAATATGGTTTTATGTTAATTCTAATTTGGGTATACATAGTTGCAATTATATCATCTCATAAAAGAAACTTCTGGATGCTTAATAAAGTTCTTTACTCCCTCTGGGCTTTTTTTCTAAATGAAAACAGGTGGTAAGCATTGCCATATCCTGATATATTGAAATTACTCAAATATTTAATAAGCTACCAGAATTTGAAGTAGTATCAAGATGTTTTCCGTTTCCCCAGGAAGACTTTTACAGTTGAGCATTTACAGTGGAAATAAGCTAAGTTTGCTAGTTTAACAACAACAAAGGAAATAAAACACAAACACTGTAAGTTGTTTCATTTGAACTAGAATTAAAATGATATCCATTATACTTAATCTGTCTTACTTCTTTACAGTAATTTGTTTTTAATCATACTTTAATCTGTTTCATCACCGTATAGACAAAACATGAAAAAAGTTTCACTTCCATCCCCTTCCCATTTTTAATAGCTTTATTGAGGCAGAATTTACATTCCAGAGGCTTCATCTATTTCAAGAATACAATTTTTGTGATTTTTTTTTTTTTTTAGTAAGTATCTGTTTGTGCCACCATCATCAAGTCCAAATTTTTAGAGATGTATACATAACTTAAGGAGATAGTCTTGCTTTTGTTATTTCCCATGAGAGATCGACTGACATGCTAATCTATATCCCTTTGGTGGAACAAAGAAATATAGGTTTTCTCTTGCTGTGGTTAGTGTTTTCTCTTTATCACTACTTTTGAAAATTTGGATTATGATGTACTTTGGTGTGATTTAGTTCTCTTTCCTTAGTGCTTATTGAAATTTCTTGGGTTTTTAATGCTCAAATTTGGAGAATCCCTTAGCCATTCTTTTTTTTTTTTTCCTGTCCTCTATTCTCCACTGTTTATCAAGAACATAGATAAAGCTAGTTGAAGTTAAATGCAGTCTTCCCTTCTATTTTTGATCATTTCTATTCTGTCTTTCCATCTTTACTAACCTGTTCTTTTTCAGTGTTTTATCTATCAACCATTGTATCTAGAGTAATTTTAAGGAAATTTTAGACATCTGTGGTTTTTCTTGCTAAAAAAAAAATGGATTTAGAACTTTTTAAAATTTCTTCCATGTCTTTCTTCATCTTTGAACAGATAGAATGTGGTTACAATTGTTTTAATATCTTTAATTGCTAGTATCTGTGTGAGTTAGACCACTAAATTTGCATTAATTTTTTTTGTCTTTTCTTTTTTGGTACTGGGGATTGAACCCAGAATGTTGCACTTGCTAGGTGAGTGCTTTGTCACTGAGCTATATCCCAGCCCTGTGTTAATTTTTTAATGAAGCAATAGAAAATATACCTGATAATCTGTGATCAGGTGGCAAAGCACTTTTGAAATTTTTTTTTTTTTTCGTTTTTGTAGTAAGACAAGATTACTATAGCTTGATGTACAACAAAAACATCAAATTGTTCCTTTAATAGGATAAGGCTCTTCTAGAATAAAGTTTCTTTGTAGTATTGAGGATTGAACATGACTCACACATGTTAGGCAAGTGCTATAGCAAGTGCCCTAGTGAGCTATTTAGCTCACTGTGGGTGAGCCATATTCCTATAGTCCTGAATTAAGGTTTTCAGTCAAGGTTGGTGAGTACAGACACCATTCCTGCCTGTGTATACTGTGTGTGATTCTTTCACATCTTTTCAGGTGGGTCCCTGCCTCAGGTATTTTATGAAGAAGCTGGTGCTGATTAGCACTTGGAATATGTTGAGGGAAACCTAAAGGACTCAGTTCTGCCTCTGGACAGCTTTTCCTTTCTCCTGAAAACTCTAGCTCTCTTAATCTCCTCATGTTCTCTTTCACTTATGCTTCTATAATTTGGTTCCACCTGAGTTTCTCTTTCCTATGTTTTGTCCTGGAAAGACTTAAGAAAGTAAGCAAGAAGAATCTTAGGACCCAGCTCATTTGTTTCCCATTCCTCAATGACCTCTGTTTTTCATTGCTTGTTGTCAAGTGCTTTCAGCACCTCTTTTTTTCCATGCATTTTGTCGTACTTGTTAGTTGTTTGAAGTGAGAGGCTTTGTTATTGCTTCTTTGTTAGTAATGTAGATCCTTAAGTTTTCTATAATTTAAAACTTTTAAGGAGAGATAGAGAGAGAGCGTGTGTGTGTGTGTGTGTGTGTGTGAGAGAGAGAGAGAGAGAGAGAGAGAGAGAGAGAGAGAAGTTCTAGGGCTTGAACTTGGGGCTGTCCCTTTTTGCTCAAGGCTTACTCTGTACCACTTGAGCCACAGCTCCACTTCTGGCATTTTTGGTTGCTAAATGGAAATATGAATCTCTCTGAACTCAATTAAGATTACAGGGATGCACCATCAGTGCCCAGCTAAACCTTCTAAGTTCTAATTATTTAGAAGTTTAATGGAACTTCTCCTGTTAAAATATTACCCAATATCTAAACATTTCAGTACTGACAGAACTTTTTTGATTCCAGTACTAAGTTTTGACTTCAAATGATTACATGGTCATATCTTATTTGACTAACCTGTCAAAAGACAAAAATAATATGGTAATTTTACATCTCAGATTCATCGATTGAATTATAAAATGAGTATTTAGGTACCTAAGAAGTTGCTGTTACTTACTTTGTGCCCTACAGACAGCTTTGGGAAATACTGTTCTTTTTCCTTTTTAGTAAAGGAGACAAGTTCTCTCTATGTAGACTCACTTGGTCTGGAGCTTATTATTATATACCTGAGGCTAATCTCAAATTTTTGATCCTGCTTCAGCTTTCTGACTGGTGGGATTACAGGCATATACTTCCATACCTGACTCTCGAATCTGTTAAGGCAACTGTAAGAAATTTTACAGAAACGAATAGTATCAGTTGGGTGTCATAGCACATGCCTATTATCCTAGTATTAAAGACACTGAGGTAGAACACGGTAGTCTAAAGGGATAATGTTCTTAATTGATATTTATGTTAATAGGTACTTTGGAAGTTCGTCTTATGGGCTGTCAAGATATCCTAGAAAATGTCCCTGGACGGTCAAAAGCAACATCGGTTGCACTACCTGGTTGGAGTCCAAGTGAAACCAGATCATCATTCATGAGCCGAACAAGTAAAAGTAAAAGTGGAAGTAGTCGAAACCTTCTAAAAACAGATGACTTGTCCAGTTCAGTAACCAATCTTTTTTAAATCGTACAATGTATTAATGGGACTACTTAAGGGATCTAACAATGAAGAAGAATAGAAATTATCCAAAGTGTAAAAACAAAACAAAGCAAAAACTTTAAACTTTAAATTTCTGTAATATTAAAATGCTGATACCCATAATAAGAGAAAACAAGGCAAAACATTTTACTTTAAAAATGAAAATGAGTGATAACATTAATTCCTTTGAAAGAATGAAGTATTGTGCACCGCTTTTTTATGCTGAAGGTATATAGAAAATAGAGGCTAAAGTCTTGTTTTTTTAGTAGTGTTCACATCTCAGGTATTTTAATGTTGTGGTGATCCTTCTAAAATAACATTCAAATATTGGCAGCTAACTACTAAACCATATTTCTATGTATATGAGAATAATTACCCAGTAGTCAACTTGGATAGGAGATAGGAACACAGGGTTGGGGATAAATGTGAGACATTTAGGAAGACATTTCAAAGTATAAGTTATACATGAATACATAACGGGAGAAAGGCACATGACAATTCAACCTACTGTGGAGTGCAAAGATGAGCTTGCCTGTACTTATGTTTAGAAAAAAGAAGTGGGGAAAATGTCAGCATCAGTTTCTTGAGGTAACAAGGTCTGTAATTTTTTTACAGATGTAGGGGAAGAAATTTGGATGATTGATCCACATACAGAGAGTATAGCAAAAGATAGTGGTCACCTTAAACTCCTTTTAATAACATTCTTAAATTTGCAAAATAGATAGCAATGACTATTTGTGTTTTAATCAGACACTAGGAGTGTTTGTATATAGAAAAATAGCCACTTCAGATTCAAAAGCTTCAGCCTTGCTTATGAAAAACATTATTTTCAAAGGGTCTTAAGACTTTTGTAGTTATAGTGTTTTAAAAGTTTAAAGTGTTTCTTTTAAGCTTGTAAATTTTTATTACAGATGATGTCTGTGCTGTTTTGAAGCTAGATAATACCGTGGTTGGTCAAACTAGCTGGAAACCCATTTCTAATCAGTCATGGGATCAGAAATTTACACTGGAACTAGACCGGGTAAGATGAGAGCTGTTTTCCTGGAATTTTCATTACATTTGTAATTTATTTTGAATGTGATTTTTATTTTCTGGGCTATTTTAAGAAGCTTTATTCTTAACAAAAGCAAACAAACTTAAATATTTTAACATTTGTCATCCAAGGGGTTATATTTTATATATAATAAATATAATGATGCAAGTGAATATTATATGCTTCAAAAAGTTTCTTTTACAGTTATTTGAAAGCGTATAATTCATTTTAACCAGAAAAGTTAGCAATTAGGTGAAATCTGTGTGTGTGTGTATGCACACGTGTGTGTGCCAGGTTGAGTTGAGAAGGGTTGTTTCATTTTGTGGTTTTTTGATACATGCTCTCCCTGTGTAGTTCTTCTAGGCCTGGGACACACTATCTAACCGAGTCTGTGTTCAGACTCCATTTTTCTGCCTCAACCTGTGTAGGGATTACAGTAATACATCCCCATGCTCAGCTATTTTTTTTATTTTAATACTACACAATCTAAGCACTAAACTAACTCTTCTGACTGAAGATTTGTAAGTTATCATAGCATAAGTGAACTTCAGTGGAGCTTTTCAACTCAAATCACCTCACCTTCCATTTGTTTCAATGTCTTTCATGAATGTTGTAAGTAGCTAGAATCTAGTATTTGATTATGGAATCCAGCAGACATTAACTTGGGCCATAATACCATCTTTATTAACTTTTTCTTTTTTATTTTATTATTTAGTATTCAGATTAATAGTTTATACATAGGATATTTAAAAAGTTACAAAGAGAGCTGGGTGCCCGTGACTCATGCCTGTAATCCTAGCTACTCAGGAGGCTAAGATCTGAGGATCTTGGTTCAAAGCCAGCTCGGCAGGAAAATCTGTGAGACTTAATCTCCAATTAACCATCAAAAAACATGGAAGTAGAACTGGGCCTTAAGTGGTAGAACACTAGCCGTGAGCTAAAAAGCATAGGGACAGTACCCAGAGTTCAAGCCTCAAGACAGACAGACAGACAGACACACACACACACATACACACACACACACACAGTGTTAAATATATTAGTAAAATTGGATTTACAATACTTAAGGATGATGTATGCTGTAAAAGTGTTTTGATGATTGATTATACCTCTCCTATTTTTATTTTATTTCATTTTTACTGTTAAGTAGTTGTACAAAAGAGTTGCCCTTCAACAAAATAGTATACAACTATAATGAATCCTGATCAATGTCATCACTTTCGTCATTTTCCACCGTCACTCCTAACCCTACTCCTCGATAGTCTTCATTTTGTAGAATATGCGTTGAATTTTTTTTTAATTTTTTTTGCCAGTCCTGGGGTTTGAACTCAGGGCCTGGACACTGTCCCTGAGCTTCTTTTGCTCAAGGCTAGTATACTACCACTTGAGCCACAGCACCACTTCCGGCTTTTTTTGCTTACATGGTTTTAAGGAATCGAACCCAGGGCTTTATGCATGCTAGGCAAGCCACATTCCTAGCCCTATGCATTGAATTTTATGACTGTATTCTCTCCTTCCTCTCTTAATTTATCTATCCCCCACCTCTTGATCCCACTCCACTTTCGATTACCCAATTCCTGGTGTCTATTCTGTTGGACTGTGAGTCAGCCTTTCTAAGGAATTACATTGTTTTGAGCTCTCCCCTATATTTTTCCAATTAATTTTGTTTTATCTTAAAAGGGAGTATTTAGTTCAGACCTTTTCTTACTGCTTTTTTTCGGTTCAAATTCATATATCTGCTTCTTAAATATTATATATATGTATACATTCAAGTTTATTATTAGCACTTCCTATCTCTGTATAAGATTAAAAAAATCATAGTGCTTAGAACTTGTTTGGTGTTGATTATTTTTCACTACAGTAAATTGCTAATCTCCATGGGTCTCAATACCAGCCTAATCTTAAGTATACCCTACCTTGCCCTGCATTTATCCTCAGGTATAGGATCTTTGATTTGTTCATTAAACTTTACCTTTATTTAATCAACAAATATGTATTGATTCTGCTGTATTCTAGGTACTTCCAAGTGGTTATTTAATAAGAAAGAACACAAACAAGAACTTTCTAGTTCCTCTCAAGGATCTAATACTTCATTGAATTTTCAGTATACATATGGTTAATTTCAGACTTTTATATTACATTAAAACTGTTCAGGGGCTGGGAAGGTGGCTCAGTGGTAGAGTGCTTGCCTTGCATGCATGAGGCCCTGGGTTGTATTCCTCAGTACCACATAAGCAAAAAGAAAAAAAGCCGGAAGTGGCGCTGTGGCTCAAGTGGTAGAGCGCTAGCCTTGAGCTGAAGAGCTAAGGGACAGCGCCCAGGCCCAGAGTTCAGGCCCCATGACCGGACCCCCACACACACACAAAAAAAAACTGTTCAGAACAATCTACCTCCTCATTGCCCAGACATGCCTTTATTTTTACTATCTCAATTGAAAAGTCATTGAGGATTTTGCTAGAATAAGGTATTTTCACTTATTGATAGTGCACATGCAAAATCATATCAGAAAAATTGACCTTGGGATTTGTGTTTAGGGCAGATTTGAGAGAGTCACATCTAACTGCATGTGAACTGACAGGAAGCTATTCTAATTTTACAACTATAAGAAGATAAGAGCTTGGACTAAAATATGTCAGTAGAAATAGAAACATGTATGTGAGAATTGGAAGAAAAATCAGTATAACTTAATAGCTTAAGTGTAGATGGGTGCAAAGAAAAGAGGACTTTGTCCTTTAGTTACAAAGAAAATGGTGTGACAGAAGTTAGGTCTATATTGGGAGAAACTGTGTTCTACTTAACTAGTTTTTAGCAGTTAAGCCAAAGATGTGTAGCTGGAAGTCATGGATGCATAAATGGATTTGCACTTCTTCTGGTTAGGGGTCATGAATTGACACTATCCCATTCTGTAAGACATTCCATAGATTCTCCCTGTATTTACTGATGGTTTTTCTATAACAGGCAGCTTACTAGATTCCAGGTTTATAGAGGTAATATGTAGTCATAGCTATTATGGAATGCTGAATAATGACCAATTTTATGTTCCATGCCATGTAACATTCTAGATGCTGGTTGTGATTGGTCAAGCCTGGTCAAAGTTCCTGTGCTTAAAGAGAAGGCAGATAATTAAAAACAAAGTTTTAAAAATCTGCACACACAATAAAGGAAATATAGTTATGGAATTGGGAAACAGAAATAAGGGACTGCTTTTAAATAGAATTTTCAAAATTCTTCAAAAAGATTTTTTTAATTGTAAAGATACTGTAAAGAGGGGTTACGGTTACATGAGTAAGGTAATAAGTACATTTCCTATCGAGCATTGTTACCCCCTCCTACTATCCCTTCCCTCCTGACCTCCTCAACTCCTCCCTTCCCCCCCCCCCCAAAGTGGGAAAGTTTGCTTTCAACATAGTGTCTTGTATGTCTAAAAAAAAATTTATTAAGGAGACCACATGTGGTCTGGGTAAAAATATGATGAGTAAAAAGTGGACATAGTTGCAGAGGTATAGAGAATGTTCTCAACAGAAGAAAAAGACAACTCTTAAAGCAAGAGAGACCTTGATATGTTAGAAAAAAATTAGAGTAGTGGTGTGGAATAAAACAGCAGAGGTAAAATTTGTTTGTTTTCAAACTATGTAGCCAATTAGAGGACTGTGTTGGTGGTTTGTTTTGTTGTTTGGGACAAGATCTCACTATTAGCCTTGTTGGCTTATATAAGGAACACTAAAATCACTTATAAGCATTTTTATAATTGAGATTATCACTTTGCAGGTAGGAGGGAATTTGTGTTGTTACATGTTACAAATTAATTAAATAGTAAGATGAGTATAATTTGTTCAATTCACTGGAAAGAGAAATACAAGTTGAGGTTATTAGTGCAGATAAATTCTCCATGCTTTACCATTGGTCTGCCACTCGTTAGCTATTGGAAGACAAGTAAGGGAAGTTGTATAACTTTACTACTGGTCATTTGTTTCAATACTTCTAAGAGGTGCTAGTTAGGAATATAATAGAATAATAAAACTTTGGTATTAAAAAAATAACATGAAAAACTTGAGGTAATATATATGTAATGCCTTGCATCATCCTTATATAATTTAGTCAGTGATATTCTTTGTTTAGCCCTAGGCTTAATCTGATGAAAGGCTTAAGTCTCCGAGGAACTAATTGGTGAAGGTCATTTTCTTTCATTTCAGAAATTGTTTAAAGTAGTTTAAAGAGAGGAATACAAAGGCACAATACCTGTGTGCTTTTATTCATAAAAAATATTTATCGAAATGAACTCTAGGAAATGCAAATAAGAGGTTTTTAATTTTTTTGTCTTATTTGTTCATTTATCTGTCCTTGGAAGCACAGAAATGGCGGAACAAAGGGTATACACATGTAACCGTGTTGTTCTTTAGACACTTTTGAAATACCTTGTGGTAGGTGGGGGGAGAAACTGGGAGGGAGCAAGGAAAAGGGTGACATTTTCCCAAAAGAAATGTACTCATTTACCTGACTTATATAACTGTAACCCCTCTAGATATCACCTTTATTATAACAGTTTTTAAAATTCACACACAAAAAAGAAAAAGCAACAAAAGAAGATGGCTGGCTAGCAGATTTTGCTTTTGGCAAGGTTATTATTAAGAGGTTTTTGGGGGGGGGGTGGGGGGGGTCTGGTCGTGGGGCCTGAACTCTGGGCCTGGGCGCTGTCTCTCAGCTCTTCAGCTCAAGGCTAGCACTCTCTACCACTTGAGCCACAGCGCCACTTCCGCCTTTTCTTTTTCTGCTTATGTGGTACTAAGGAATGGAACCCAGAGCTTCATGCATGCAAGGCAAGCACTCTACCACTGAGCCATTAAGAGTGTTTTATTATGAACAAGAGTGCATATTTAGGCCTGGGAATGCAGGCTCAGTGGTAGAGTGCTTTCTTTGCATGTGTGAGGCCCTGAGTTTGATTCCTCTGCACTACATAAGCAAAAAAAGTCGGAAGTGGCACTGTGGCT